GCACAGATATTTAACTCAGTGGGGGTAAAACCAGGCTTGGGAACAGAAGATAGGGTGGTAAAAGAGGAATCACATACAGACCTATCCCTAAGCTATGGACATGAGTTAGCATTTGGCCTTTAGTGGTGTTGTGTAGGTTAGCCAAGCAGATCCTCAAAGGACCTGCCTCTCAGAGCAATAAGCTACAGGAATCCAAAGCATCAGGCTGACTAACTAAACTGGATTTTTTTCAGCAACAGATGGTCCCAAGCATCAGGCACATCAGTCTCTGGGATATAGAGGGGCTGCTGAGACGTTTGTGAGTTGGGAAACCATCCATAGGCCTGAAAGGGCTTCAAACAGAGTCGCAGGCCTGACAGGTACACAAGGAACATGCACTGTGTTCCCAACCAGGCTGACTACTCTGAATCTCTGGGGTCAAATTGTACATCTGTATTTGTCTTTGCCAAATTTCAAATGAGTTGCTTGCTAGTAATTTGGAGGGTGCTGTACAAATGATGGGGTCCCTTCAGGGCATAAGTGAATCAACAGCGGCTCGTTCTGGGTTTGTAGCGTCTGCCTCGTTGTTCGTCTGGTCAGGTTTAAAGCAGGTGTTTGTTTAGGAGGGCTGCATGTATTCTCTTCACATGAGCTGAATCGATATTAGAATCGTCTAAATTGCTGTGCCCAGGGACAAATCAAGATCATGCTTGATCTTGGTGAATTCGTGCCAGCAGAATGTGAGGGATTGTCTTCATAGACATCTCACTTGAAGGTCGTTGGCCAGGGCACTTGTGTATTTTAGCAATGGCTACATGAGTTTTAGCATTGATTGAAACTTCCCACTTATCACATTGGTGACGCTTTCTCACTCCTAAGTTCTAGTTAGGAGTGTCAGTGTCTCTTCTCTGACACTTTCTAAAACCTGTCTGAATGGGGCCCACAGTGGGGAAGGAAGTTTTACTTTATATCAGGAAGACTGTATGGATGATTTGAGTTCTTATTTACCAGTTAGAAAAGTTAGGAGGATAAAGTAAGAACAGAAGGGAGAATAAAGAACATAGTTTTGTTGTTTGTACACAGTAGTTGACAAAAAAGATGCTTATTTTTACCCTACATTTTATTTATCACACTTGGCCATTTGGGGGTTTCAGAAGAAAATTCTACTACCACTGAGAGCTATTAAAAAGAAGATATTGAAAAGGATATTTTCCCCAGCACTTCCAAGCAAGTTCATGACCTGTCCTGACCCTCCTAAAGACCCTGCTAGGACTTTTGGACCTTAAGTTCCCAGGCAAGGTCAGGTGTGAAATATCCTGGTGGGGTGCAGCCATCTTGAAGCCTGAACCTCAATCAACATTGCCGATGGGTGGCCTTTAGCACCCATCTCCCCCTGCCCCCTTTTAAGGTTTTGCTCCTCTGTGTTTTAATGTTTACAGAACGGCTAATCCCCACTCAGCAGGGAGCCCCTCATGGGCCCAATCACACCTTCCTCTTTTCTGGATTTCTCCTCACCCCTTGGATTTACACAGGCCCTAATTCTGAAGTGGTGCAGGAAAGATGCCTTTATTCCTCAGTTATTGAGAGAGTATTCCCAGGAGACTTGTTCACAGCCTAGATGCTGGCTAGATCAGAACAAACAAAAATGTAAGACAGTCCACAGAAGACTTAATATTGTTAAGGTGTCAATACTGCCAAAGTGATCTACAGGTTCAACACAATCTCTATCAAGTTTCAAAGTCTCGTTTTTTGTTGTTGTTGTTGTTTTTACAGAAATAGAGATAATTTTGTCCTAAAATTCTTGTGGAATCTCAAGGGGCCCTAAATAGCCAAAGCAATCTTGAAAAAGAACAAAGTTGGAGGGCTCACACTTCTTGATTTAAAACCTCATTACAAAGCCACAGTGATCAAAATAGTGTGGTACTGGCATAAAGTCAGTAATTTAGATTAATGGAATATAATAGAGAGCTCAGAAATAAACTCTCTTGTAAATGGTCAAATGATTTTCGACAACGGTACCAAGACCATTCACTGGTGAAAAAAGTCTTTTCAAACAATGGTGTTGGAACAATTGCTTATCTGCATTCAAAGAATGGAGTCGGACCCTTATGTTATACCACATACCAAAATTAGGTCAAAATGGATTAAAGTGCTGAATATAAGAGTGACAACTACAAAATTCTTAGAAGAAAACATAGAGGAAAATCTTCACGATACTGGATTTGGCACGAATTTCTTGGACACGGCACCAAAAGCACAGGAGACAAAAGCAAAAATAGATAAATTGGTTTATATAAAAATTATAAACTTCTGTGCATTAAAGGACACAATCAACAGAGTGAAAAGGCAACCATCAACTCAACAACAAAACCCAAACAACCCAGTTAAAAAATAAGAAAAAGACTTAAACAGACATTCTTCAAAGAAGACATATTAATATAAATGGCCAATGAGCACATGAAAAGAGGCTCAACTTCATTAATCATTAGGAAAATGTAAACCAAAATTACAATGTCACCCATGAGGACGGTATCTATGAAAAAAACAGACAATATGTGTTGGTGAGGATGTGGAGAAATTGAAACTCTTGTGCATTGTTTGTGGGAATGCAAAATGGTGCAGCCACTATGGCTGACAGTATGTATGTGTACATATTGATTCCTCAAAAAATTAAAAATAGAATTAGCATATGATCCAGCAATTCCACTTCTGTGTATATACCCCAAAGAGTTGAAAGCAGAGTCTTGAAGAGCTATTTGTACATCCATGTTCATAGCAGTATTAATTACAACAGTCCCAAAGTGGAAGTAACCCAAGTAGCCATCAATGAATGAATGGATAAACAAAATATTATTCATCCTTAACAGGGAAGGAAATTTTAACATATGCTACAACAGGAATGAAACTTGAGGACATTCATGCTATTATGAAAAATAAGCTAGTGACAGAAGGACAAATGGGTCTGATTCCATGCATGTGAGGTACATACACTAGTAGTAATTTCATAAAGACAGAGAGTGAACAGTGGTTTCCAGGGACTAAGAGGACAGGGAAGTGGGGAGCTGTTATTCAAAGAGTGTAGAGCTTCAGTTTTTCAAGATGGTAAAATTTCTAGAGATTGGTTGCATAACAGTACAAATACACTTCACATGTCTGAACTAGACACTTAACATTAGTTAAGACGGTAAATTTGATGTTCTATAAATATACAGAACCTGGTAAAATATTATTGTGATTTTAAAAAGCTAGAAGAATCCTCCCAATTCCATTTTCTAAAAAAATTAAAGTTAGTCACTCAGCTGTGACCAACTCTTTGCAACCCCAAGGACTGTAGCCCACCAGGCTCCTCTGTCCATGGAATTCTCCAGGCAAGAATACTGGAGTGGGTTGCTATGACCTTCTCCAGAGGATGTTCCTGACACAAGGATTGAATCTGGTCTCCTGCATTGCAGGCAGATTCTTTACCATCTGAGCTACCAAAAAACTTAAAACGAATCTCCTAACATAATTTTGTGAAAAAGTGGTTAATTATATCAAAGTCTGAGCTTTTAAAGTAGTTTGATTGGTGGGAAAAAGCTCATTAGAACTCTGGTGTGTGAATTCTAATGAACTACCTGGAGCTGCCACAGTCCCAGGCTTTGCACACAAATCCACTTCTCCCTGCTCACTCCTATCTTGATAAAGGCTCCTGAGCTGAGAGGAAGAAAGCCAGCCCTGGGGGTTAGGGCCACACTTGCCAACTAGGACAGGAAAGTTTTTCTCTGATTCTGATTGCAAGTAGGAAATGCAAGGGAGGGTTAGCAATTGCCCTTTAAGTATTTAGATGCCATCTAAGGAAATTAAATCAGAGGCTCAAAAGGAGGTTACAGTAACCCCAAGGAGACACAAAGGTACAATTCCTCTCAATCAACGCTGCAGTTAGAGATAGATGGAGATGGGCCCCCCAAACCTCAGTCCTACTAGTAGTTGTTACTTACCAGTGAGTGGACGCTTACTAGCTGTGTGACTGTGGGCAAGTCACTTAACCCCTCTGGGCTTAATTCATCACCTTTACCATGAAGAAATACCCCCTTTATCTAAAAGATTATTAAAAATGTATCAAATGAAAATATATAATAAGATATTTTAAAACTAGTCTAAAGAGATCTCTATATAAATATTAATTCTTGTAGGATCTGGAGTCTTTGTTTAATAAACAGGGACAGTTGTTTCCCTCTTGTTTGCACAAGAGGGACAAATTAGAGATAATGTATGTAAAGCACGTAGCACAGGACTGGGCCCAGAGTAGATTTTATAAATGATAGGAGCAATATTTTTTACTTACTGCTATTCTCCTGTGAGTGGCCTCCCAGTGAAGGGGGTGGGCCTTGGGCATATATCTGATTTTGCCTGTCCAGCATCTGTTCTCCCTGCCTTCTTCTAAAAGCATCCTATTTGTCTTCAGGTAATTCCCTTTCCTTTCTCAGTCTGTGTGGTTCAGGTGTGGTACCCATTTTCCCTCCTTTTCTCCCATCTTTGCCCTGGTCCTCCAGGCTGAACCAGGATATCCCTGGATAATCCACAGGGATTAGTTCAGTGATGGGCCCAGGACCTGATAATCCAGGGTAATGAAACAAAACCCTGGGTTCTTTTTTTTTTTTTTTTTTGCTGGACCCACTGGAGAAGAGAAACACTTTTTTGTGAAGTCACTTGGATGATAGAATATGTCTCTAACAGGAAGAAAATGAGGGCAATGCAGAGACAGAAAATCCAAGAAATGGACAAAGTCAGATGACTGATGAACAAATTTGAATACATGAATCCATTAAAGTGTGAACTACCCTTGGAGATTTTAGTTACTTGAACAATAAATCCACCACAGCATTCCTACCCTCCACACCCCCCTAACTTTTTTTGCTGAATTTCTGCCATTTGTAATAGAAAGTTTTATTGAATAGAATGGACAGACTTTGAATTTATTCCTTCAGCTTCCACAATATCCCCTATTTGTCTTCCGGGATGATCCCCATAGCAACACTCACCCTGCGTCGGAACTCTTCTCCTTGCTTCACTTCCCGAGGATAGCCGTCAATCAGGAAGCCCTTGGTGTTGCTGAGGCTGGCCACCATGGCCTCCTTCAGGAGCTCCAGAATGATGCCCTGGAGCAGAGGGAGAGCGGTCAGGACCCAGACTCTTCCACAGAGCAGCACTCTGGACTTACCAAAGGTCTCCCAGCCATCCCATCATGGCAAGGCGGAGAAACGTACTAGTTACATTAACAGTGCGTGGCAATATCCTGTATTTCATCAACTATAAATCTCAGTCCCCCACCACCCAATTTTAATGTCTATGGAACTGGTAGGTATTTTACAATCAGTACTGGGTCAAAGTCTGTTGATGGTTTTTCTTACTGGTTAATTTTAATGGTTAAAGTTTTGGGGGGTTGCCTAAAAATAACGGTATCTTAAATTAGATGAAATATGGTACTGTATTTCAAGCAGTAGCACTCCTTGAATTAGGCCCAATGGCAGTTTAAAACTAGACAAAACATGGTATAAAATGTACTTCAGTGTTGATTTTTTTCCCAGTAAATGTTCTGTAAAATTTGACATGACATGCATTGACTTGAGTAGACTTTCAGTAGACATGAAGTAGCATTTTTCTAGCAATATCACTTTGTTAAAAATTTTGACTAACTTGTGCTTATAGAAAACAAGGAAGCTACTAGCTGCCCAAATGGGGGGAATTCCTTGTGCTCGCTGGGTCCCTGGCTACCTCTGACTTTCAGCAGGGGCTGGGGAATACAACTATCACAAAGCGCACTCAGAATCTATCCCTAGATAATAATGAATTAAACCCTCATGAAGTTTATATTTTAGTGAAAAATAGATACCAGATGAACAAGTAAATATATAAAAATAATCAGAGAGAACTACTAGGAACAAAATTAAAGCAGATCAGAAGAAGCAGATTGTTAAAGGTGCTGTTTTTAGATGGGGTATGCAGGCCTCTTTAATAGACTGTGATATTTAAGGAGAGATCTGGATGAAGTAAAGGAGAAAGCTATATGCATATATGAAAGAAGGGCACTCAGGTTGAAGAAATAGACAATGTAAGGGCCCAGAGGCAGGAGAAGTCTGGCCTGTGAGAGGAAGAATGGGGGGGTGGGAGTGGGTGAGAGGAAATGTGAGAGTCTTGGAAAAGAGCATTGGAGAGCAAGCTGGAGTCCAGAGCCATGGGAAAGTCTCTGGATTTCCTTCAAAATGTGGGGAGGAGCTGTTGGAAGATTCTGGGAAGGGGGATAAATGTTTCTAAGAAATCACTCTGGCTGCTGTGACAAGAGTAAACTGTAGGAGAAAAAGAGTGGGCAGAAGGAGGCCTGTTAAGAGGAACTACAGGACTTCCTTGGTGGTAGAGTGGGTAGGAGTCTGCCGGCCAATGCAGGAGACATAGGTTCGATCCCTGGTCCAGGAAGATTCCACTTGCCTTGGAGCAACTAAGCCTGTGCGCCACAACTATTGAAGCCCGTGTGCTCTAGGGCCTTTGAGCCACCACTACTGAGGCCACATGCGGCAACTATTGAAGCTTGCATGCCTAGAGGCTGTGCTCCACAGCAAGAGAAGCCACCATGATGAGAAACCCAAGCATTGCAACAAAGAGTAGCCCCTACTTGCTAAAACTAGAGAAAGTCCTCAAAAAGCAATGAAGACCCAGTGTGGCCAATATAAATAAATAAACAGATTAATATATAAATCTCCAAAACTTTAAAAAGAAAAGAAAAGAGACAACAGCAGTGGTCTGTTTCCTTTATGAGGACCATTCTGGCTTCCAGGTGGGAAACAGACTGTAGCTGGTTAAAGAGGAAGCGAGAAGCTGCCTTAGCTAATAGGGGCTGCACTGTCCATGCCCTGACTACAGAGCCTAGTGTGAGAGTTAGTCTGGAAGGGATGAATGTTTTATGATACCCGTGGCATCCAGCCTCTCAGATATGGATGGTGACTTGAAAACAAAACAAAACAAAAAAATAAATAAAAGGGATATTCTTTGGCTACCCAAGGAAGATAACAAATTTCATGTTAATGCCATTATACCTCTCAGAATGAGACCAAGACATTATTTTCTGTTTTTCAGAGGGTTCTAAGAGTCCTTTGGACTGCAAAGAGATCAAATCAGTCAATCCTAAAGGAAATCAATCCTGAATACTCACTGCAAGGACTGATGCTGAAGCTGAAGCTCCAATACTTTGGCCACCTTATTGGAAGAGCCATCTCATTGGAAAAGACCTTGATGCTGGGAAAGATTGAGGGCAGGAGGAGAAGGGGGCAACAGAGGATGAGACGGTTGGATGGCATCATAAACTCAATGGACATGAGTTTGAGCAAGCTCCAGGAGATGGTGAAGGACAGGGAAGCCTGGCATGCTGCAGTCCATGGGGTTGAAAAGAGTTGGACATGGCCTAGCAACTAAAGAACAACAACTAATTCTAGGTTCTGCTGCACCAAGATCATTTCTGCTTTGAAGCTTTTAACTCTAAAGTGAAGTCGCTCAGTCATGTCCGACTCTTTGTGACCCCATGGACTGTAGCCTACCAGGCTCTTCCATCCATGGAATCTTCCAGGCAAGAGTACTGGAGTGGGTTGCCATATCCTTCTCCAGGGGATCTTCCTGACCCAGGGATTGAACCCGGGTCTCCCACATTGCAGGCAGATGCTTTACCATCTGAGCCACCAGGGAAGCAGGGACCAATTTTAGGAAAAAGTATGAAATAGGTTAAATTCAAGGAACTGGCAGAGCAACAAGACAGAAGGAACCAGGGCCTGGGCAACTTGGTCTGGCAGATGAGCCTCTGCTGTAGACCTCCTGCCTGCCTCTGGACTGTTAAAAGAAACAAAATACAGCATTGTCCTTTTTGAGTTTCTTTGTTTCTGAAGCTTAGATTAATGGCAACACTTTCAGATCTCTCCCCGCCAGAGAAGGCAGCTGTTGCTTACTGAGGGCACCAGCTCTCCACGTTCCATGATGCCTCTGATCAGCTTGCTTCTTTCAGATTCTGATGACAGCTCATTCCGCAGGAGCTCGCCAGTCGAGAGATGTGTAAATCCATATTTTTCCACCAGCTTTCCACACTGTGTGCCTTTGCCAGAGCCTGGGCCCCCTAGAAAAGAAGTCATGGGTCAGACATCCATCCCTAATCTGGTGCCCTGTTCGGGGTTGTAGTCACACAGTGAGCAGGCTTCAGTGCTTGATCCACCAGCATGGACTGAGCCCTGCTGATCTATTGGAGGCGTATTGGGAGCCATGGATACAGTGGCGAACGGGACACAGGCCTTGCCTTCAAAGATTGTGTCCATGGAGGGCAGAGGGTGTTACAGACAAACAACAGCAGTCACTACAGGTGGTCTAGTGGGGAGAAGTGCAGAGGGCGCAGGGGAGGGTCCACAGTCCCAATTTTGAGGACACGCTCAGCAGATAAGTTTCCTGGGGCCCTGAATCTGCTCATGAGCAAAGCAGGGACCATGGCGCCTGATATATGGTGACCGCTCAACAAATGCTAGCCGTTACTTTTTGTTTTTGTAATTCAGAAAATAATGCAAGCAATTTTAATTTAATCTAGAGACAGGTGCTTTATTTACAAATATTTAGATTAATAGCATTTTGCTACATCAAATGAAGAGTACAGCAGTTTGGATAAATCTTGTCACAGAAACAATTAAGACCCACTGTGACTAACTTTGGGAATTAGGGTGTTGCACCTAAACAAGCCTTTAGTTTGTGGTTGTTAGTCACTACTTTTAAAATCAGTTGTTTTCAAATTTATGGTTACCAAAGAGGCAAGGTGGGGGGGGATAAGTTAGGAGTTTGGGATAAACATACACACACTAGTATATATAAGATAGATAACCAACAGGGACCTAGTGTATAGCACAAGGACCTCTACTCAATTTTTTATAATAACCTAATAAGGAAAAAAAATCTGAAAAAGAACAGACAAATATATACGCGAAACTGAATCACTGTGCTGTACGCTTGAAACTAGCACAACATATATCAACTCTACTTCAATAAAAAACTGTTTTCACAAATATCATATGTTAATGCATATATATGGAATCTAGAGAGATGGTACTGATGAACCTATTTGCAGGGCAGCAATGGAGACAAAGACATAGAGAACAGACTTATGGACACAGTGGGTGCTGAAAAGGAGAGAGGGTGGAACGAATGGAGAGTGTAACATGGAAACATATACACTAACATACGTAAAATAGATAGCCATGAGAATTGGTTGTATGACTCAGGGAATAGGGGCTTTGTGACAATCTAGAAGGGTGGGATGGGGAGGAAGATGGGAGGGAGGTTCAAGAGGGAGTGGACCTATGTATTTCTATGGCTGATCCATGTTGATATGTGGCAGAAACCAATACAATATTATAATTATCCTTCAATTAGAAATTTAAAAAAGATTTAAAAAGAAAAAAATCATTTTCGTTTTTAAATAATCATAAAGTTACAGAAGAGTTATGAGTACAAAGAACTGTCTGAAACATTTGAGAATCAGCTGCCAACCTGATGCCTCATCGTTACTGAACACTTTAACATCATTTCCTCCAGACCAGGAGCCAAGCACATCCTCCTACATAACTGCATTTTTGGACCTTATTCACATGTCAATGAAATTGTCCCAATCATCTCAATAATGTCCTCTGAAGCCAATGGATCAAGTTCAGAATCACATGCTGCCTTTAGTGGTCGTGTCTTTCTGGTCTTCTTCCATATGGGCCAGTTCCTCTGTATTTCATTGACACTTTGGAAGATTATAAATAGTTATTTTACAGAATGTCCCTCAGCATGAATTTTTCTATTGTTTTCTAGCTACTAATACTCATGATCTCCCATATTCCTTTGATGAACATTACATCCTGATTCTTTCATTGTCTCCCCCACCAAGTTCAACCAGTTGCTAAGTTGCAAGATTTTACACCTTAAAAAATATTAATAGCTAACTTTTGCCAAGTGCTTACTGTTCTAAGCACTTTATGTGTATTAATTTTAAAAAATCTTAAGAGAGGCAGACATTGGTATTATTCCCATTTTACAGATGGGGAAGTAGAGTCACAAAGAAGTTAACTGCCTTAGGTGGCATGAGTAAGTAAATAGCAAGTCTAGGATTTGAAGCCTGAACTCTGGCTCTCAGAGGTGTTCCCTCCTCTTTTGGCTGCTGCGCCCAGGTTTACCTGCCACGTTTCGGGTCCTCATGCTCTTAGTATACAGAAGGCATCCTGCCTCTGTGTGGAGCAAAGGCTGAGGCTTTGGGGTCCAGCAAACCCATGAGCAGGATGATTTGCCTGAAAAGTATGTCACTTCCCAGCTGCAGAGCATTCTGTGGCTTCCCTTTCTCCAACTCCTTAGAGTGGCATTTGTAGCTTCTAGGAGCTAGTTCCATTCAGCCTCTCCAACTTTTTTCTACATTTCTTATCCTCACCCAACATTGTCCTGTCCAACCACAGACTGTCCTTTCATCAAGACATACTTTAAAAAAACGCTTTTCTAACTGTGAGATAATTGCAGATTCACATTTGTAAGAATAATATAGAGAGATCCCATGAATCCTTTTCCATTTTCCCTAGTGGTGACATTTTGTACAACTACATCACATCACAATATCACAACCAGAATATTAGCACTGATGTAATACAGAAGGAAAACATTCCCGTCAGTGCCGGAGTCCCTTATGCTATCCTTTTATAACCACACCCACTTCTCTCTACACACACATCGTTAACCTCTGGCAACCACTAAATCTGTATATAATTTTGTCATTTTGAGAGAACTGTATCAATGGAGCCACAGGCATCAAGATATAGTTTTCCAATGTGCTTTTGCTCTTCCCGTCCTCAGCCTGGATGGCTTCCACTTTCCACTCTATCAAGATTCTCTTCATCCCATGGGTCTGGATCCAATGTTTCCCCCTTCCAGCAGGAATCAGCCTGTCCACATCGCCTCTCCTGGGGTGAGTGATGTAACCCCCACTCGGGTGCCGTTGGCCTGTGGTCTAGGTCTCCCACTAGACCTTCTGCCCCACAGCATCTACACAGTACCTGGCCATGGTGAAGTGAGTGAAGTTGCTCAGTTGTGTCTGACTCTTTGCCATCCCGTGGACTGTACCCTGAGAGGCTCCTCTGTCCATGGGATTCTCTAGGCAAGAATACTGGAGTGGGTTGCCATTAGGTGCTTCTTAATGCTTGGAGGATTTCCCGGTTAAAAGGAAATATATAACACCAAAATGTAAAACATGATTGAGGTTTTAGCATGGTAGTGAGCACTTACAATTTGTCCTGTAATTTTCCTGTCTGGCCTCTCTTCACCTTCAAAACTCCTTTCTCGGAACAACTGGCAACAAACCTCTTGAGGGGCAGTACTTGTGGTCCCTCATTAGTGGAAGGGCCTCTCACTCCCTCTCTTTTGCCTTGGCAGCGAATCCAGGAAATGTCCACTCTTTGACTTCTGCTCATTTGTAGAGCTGCTCTCGACCAAATGGGAAGGGTTCAGAGCGCTCGCTGTATTGTCATGGTGGCTGAGATGTACCAGGAAAACAGCAATTACAGAGGCTCGCAAAAATAATGCAGACCACTTAGCAGGAAAGGCTGATTGCCAGCTGATGCTATGTTTGCTCCAAGCACCATGACTCCTATCTCCTGAGATAACAGGAATGGAGAGTGGGAACAAGGGAGGGCCACTCTGGGCAGGAGTGCTTCCACAAAAGGAGGGAGGGAAACAACGGGCTAGGCTCTGGCAGCAGCCGCGAGGGCTTCTGGAGCTGGATTTACCTACAGACTCTTTCTTGAGGATGGCTGGAAGCCAGTCATGTGGGAAAAGATATTTTCAGCCTTGGCTTACAGGGCAAAAATGCTACGTTTCAATTATTTTCTTCCTTCAGCATTCTCCTAATATGACTATTATAATTTTTGTTCCTCTCAAATGTTATTTAATAAATCTTGACACAAAGGCAATTAAAACATCTTCAGCTCAAATTAACCACAGCTGTGTGTGAAACAGCAGCCGCTGCTCCAGTTAGAAACCTTTCGTGGGAGCAACAGCTGCAAATTCTTAACATTCTTTGGGCAAATGGGGCAGGCACAGTGGAATTTTAAGTAATCTTCACAATGGTTTGATTTTTCCCGAGGCTCCAAACCAGGGAACAAAGTGATTTTTATCACTGCCGTGAAGGCACCAAAACTGCTGGGAGATGTAGGAATTTTCATAGGGTGTCACTGACATTTCTTTGAGGCCTTCACTTAATGTATTGAAATAAAAAACTATGGAGCCTTGATATCCTTCCAGGATAATTTGTTACATGAGGAAACTCTTCTGAAGTGATTTTCACATATCTGAACAAGTGGGCTGCATTCTCTCCTGAGATGACTGACAGGAGATGGGGAGCTGTCACATTTATTGTCATCCCACTGATTTTTCCTGTATCATTATTCAGGCTTAATCCCTGAACAAACAGATGCACAATACTGCATGGTGTGATTCACGAAGGCAGCCTGGGGTAGGAGGTTCCATTTTAAAAGCGTCTGTCAACACTTTAAAAAAAGAAAAGGTGAAAAATCTTTATTCTCAACCACCAATGTAATTTAAAATTTTTTCCATGTGAGGCCAAAGGTGCTATATTGTGAGAAGTGCAAATGCTGTGAGCCTCCGCTTCACAGCACAGTGTATCCCTGCCGCTTCCGCAGTGGCTCAGTGGGTAAAGAACTTGCCTGCCAATGCAGGAGACACAGGAGCCGTGGGTTTGATCTCTGGGTCCAGAAGATCCCCTGGAGGAGGAAGTGGCAACCCACTCCAGTATTCTTGCCTGGAAAATCCCATGGACAGATGAGCCTGGTGGGCTACAGTCCGTGGGATCATGAAAGGTTGACACAACTGAGTGACTCACACACCACCGACACAACGCTGCATTGAGGAAGGGGAGCGCCTGCAGGAGACCTGGGAGCCACCGGCCCATGGCTGGACTCGCTTTCCTGCCTTCTCCTGGCTACCTGGTATTCTGTAGGACTGAAACAAGCTGCATCACATCAGCATGTCCACCTCAGCCACCTTCTCCAGGGTGCTTTCTATCTTCAGGGGCAATACTCTCAGGGGACACCTCCT